CCAAATTCTCCTGGCAGTAGAGCATAACTATAAGCAAAAAAATATGTATATATTAATAATTTGTATCTTTTTTACCAAACTGAAAAGTTGAACAATGGCAAATATCGCACAAATACCGTATAAACTTTTCTGTCTGAAAAAAATGGAGTCTTAGAACAACATTGCTATCCTTAGTGTCAGTATCAGTAAGATCATGAACACATCCATCCATCAACTAGACAGAAATCTGAGTGCTTCTGCAGCTTTAACTCCTGCTAACGTAAACATCAAAGTTCATGTAATATACACCTTTCAATTTTGGGGGGTTTGTTTTTCTTTTTTGCACTTTTTCCAGACTTTATCTTGAACCTATCTGCTTTCTTTTCATACCTCCACTGCATGTTGCGGACTTCATTGCTTCTCCTTCCTTACTCATTCTGCTGATGCACAATTTCGTATTTCCAGTGAACTGGTATTGTAATGAGAAATATATAAATATAAAAAATCCCTTTATTGTTCCACAATGGGGAAATTGTTTTGTTACAGCAGCAAAATATTATAGCTAAAGTGGTCACACAAATTTGGACCTTAAAGTGTATTAAATATAACAAAAAATGAGATGGAAAAACTAACAAATAAAATACTGTACTGTATGGTGTTTTTCCAATATAAATACTGTGCATCTGGAGAATAAATAATCAATATACAGCTATGGACTTTTTCATTTTAATGGATATGTGAAAAAATAGCAGTAAACAACAGAGATGTGCAAAAATGACATCAGTATGTTATTTAAGTGACTAATATAGAAACTGTGCAAAAATCAGCATGAATGTAAGAACTTATTGAGGTTGTTACAAATGGAGTGTAAACGAGGTGTAAAAAGGAAAAATTTAAGATGATATCCAGAGTTTGATGATTGAATCAAAAAATCTTTGTTTGCAACCAGAGGTATACTGGTGTAGAAATTCATAGTCATAGAACATGGAGAGGTCCCTTTAACACTTAAATTTTACTTAAGACACACAATGACGTTAGCTCCTCAGCCATTTCCCTTTCAACATATTTTTTTATAAACACTATGTGAAAAGTTAACTTTTCACTCTAATCCAAACCTTCCTTTGTCACACTTTTAATAACAGAATGTGACTCATTGTTGACTTTTAAACTGTAGACCAATCAGTCTAGACTGTAATGCCAAAGAAATTGGAAAACTTCAGGTCCATTTAAAAGTAAGAAAGTAACCTTTCTGCTGCATCCAGTGCAAATAGTTGGTCTGTGTGTTTAGCGAGAGACTCATCTAGAAAATGTAGGAAAGCTGTGAAGAATCGCATGTTGGTTTATTTTACTGGCTGATGCTAAAGTAGCTACTTCTGCTTGATATTAGAAACACAATCGGATTATTTCTAATTAAATGCCTTTTTTTTCACCACACAGAACATAACATGCGTCTGAGGAACAGTTCTGTGGATGGACCAGATGGCGGTCAGCTGTTTGATGACACAAGTGCAGCTGGGCCTGCGAACCAAGGCGTCTACAGGTGGGAGCCATCCTTTGACAGGTTTAAACCAGTCGGAAACTTCTCCAGTTGTTGATAAATGGAAAGAAGATTTTTTTTCCCCTAAATATTTTGGCTTCTAGTTTATATATTATTCCAATCATTTCTGGACAGAAATCAGCAGGCTGGGCCTCAAGCAGCAGGACCTCCTGGTCAGTCCTTCCTGTCTGACCCCATGTCCAACCTGGCGATGGTGTACGGCAGCTCACTGGCGACCCAGGGGAGGGAAATGGTGGACAAAAATGTAAGATTTCCAGAAGTATTTAGCTGATCTGCATAAGCCGAAAAAAAAAAAATCCACTGAGGCTATCCATGTAAGCAGGATTTAATTTGTGTGTTTGTTTGATTTTAGCTGGACAGGTTTATTCCGATTTCCAAGCTGAAATACTACTTTGCTGTGGACACGGTATACGTGGGAAAGAAGCTGGGAATTTTAGTGTTTCCTTACATGCACAAGGTAGGCTTGGCTTTACTATGAATCAACCCTCTCTGGGAGTGATTGGAGTTTAATTTCTGTACTTGGTGGGCTTTTATTGTTTGAAATAAAGGATTTCATTGCCAAATGTGAAGTTGTGATTAATTGTATGACTTTTAGTTTGGTTTTAACCCATATGACCCATGATACAAACCAGACCATCTCCCTTTAGATGAAACGTAGCAACGCATCTTTTTTTTTTTCTTTTACAAACCATCTAAATAAAGCCGTAAATAATTTGGGGGAAAATATGAAGATTATAGACCTGATTATTGTGTGGAATGTGTCTATTCTGTAGAATTGGGAGGTGAGCTACCAGCAGGACACCCCTGTCGCCCCCCGCTTTGATGTAAACGCTCCAGATCTTTACATTCCTACTATGGCCTTCATCACATACATCCTGGTGGCTGGGCTGGCTCTGGGCACACAGAACAGGTACAGTTAGCCACATTTCTGCTAATACAAAGCTTTATATTTTTTCTGCAGATAAAAACATGCTTGACATCTGATTCTCATTCCTAAGCCCACTGCCTAAATTCATAAATAGCACTGTGGAGAACCTGGGAATGAATGATGAATGTTGACTAATGATGTCCCTTTTATGTCGTACTACCAATGATGAACCTTTCTGATATGTTGCTCAGGTTTTCCCCAGAGCTTCTGGGAGTCCAGGCCAGCTCAGCGTTGGTTTGGTTGATCATGGAGGTCCTGGCCGTCCTGCTCTCCCTCTACCTCGTCACTGTAAACACAGACCTCACCACCATAGACCTTGTGGCTTTTTCAGGATACAAATATGTTGGGTATGTACCGATATATAGCACCATCAAACTCATTTTTCCAATAACAATTTAACCGTCATTGTCTATTTTTTTTAGAATGATTATAGGGATCATCGCAGGTCTTCTATTTGGAAGGCTGGCATATTATCTGTCTATGTTGTGGTTTTGTGGAGCCATCTTTGTCTTTATGGTGAGTATGTAGCCTATTTGTACTGATTTTAATTCATGAAATCCTTGTACACAATCAGTCAGGATAGTTATACTTCTTCCTTATTCTGCAACTCATCCAAACCCACTTCATAAGTCATTACAAGCACACCTTTATACAAATGCGTGACATATGGGAACACGCTGATGCAGACTTCTGATCCAGTTCAATTTTTAATAAATCCTGTTACTGTTCACTAAATGGTTACAATGATTGGAAGCTTTTCTTACCTTTATTATTCATCTGTATTAGAAAAAAAATCAATTTGTTTAGATTATGCTTTGTAGATTTGTTTTTTTTGAACAACTAAATAGTTTGGATCATCCAAGTATTTTATGTATGATTCTGAATATTACCGGTAATAGTGAAACATAAGGTATTATATTTTATAAGATATTATTGTCTTTACCTCTACGATGGGCCACTTTCTGAGGCCCACTCTGGAGATTTTAACCACCTTTCTTAATCAAATTAATCAAACTGTTTAGGCTTTTTCATTCATGCCACAGCATCTCAGACTTCTTGAGTGCTTTTAATCGTGTCCTCTTGTATAACCCTAATAGACTTTAGCTTGAGTTGAAGTCAGACTTATCCTATAGGATTTTCTGTTGGAGAATGGATGCTAAGTCCTGGACATCGTGAGGATGTCTTCTAAACATCAGGAAAAGTTAACAGTTTAAACATATTAGTTTAAGCTGTTAACTTAGTTTGCATGCTCAGAGATGGAGTTAAACCTCCATTTCCACCAACCCAGAGCACTCCTATCTTTTAACATTCCTGCACATTTCTGGACAGATCCGCACTCTGCGTCTGAAGCTCTTATCCGAGGCGGCGGCTGAAGGGAAGCTGGTGAGAGGAACCAGGAACCAACTGAGGATGTACCTGACCATGTCCATCGCAGCGGCGCAGCCCGTCTTCATGTACTGGCTCACCTACCATCTCATCAGATAAAAGCGTCACTTTGTAGAACTCTGCTGTCAATCAAATTCATCATCTCAGAAACAACAAAAAAAGTTATCCACAAAGAACCACATCGCTACACTCAATGAGCAGAACTCCCGTCACCAAACAATAAAGAGGGGACGTCTCCGCTCCTCTGAGCACAGCCACGTGTTAGTTTGGCCTTTTTTTATATTTAATGTCTTCAGATTTTGTAGCAAAAACAGGTGGCTTTCATTTGTGTTTTACTGTGTAATTGCATGATGGCAATGTTTTTATGAATATTTATGTACGTCTGTGAATTTTTATGTTGCAGAATTTACTCTGGTTGTCAAAGGCTAATTTGTTTTAGCCGCACAGCTGCACACCTGCCCCGCATCTGATGTGAAGAAACTGTAAACCAGAACATGAACTGGTTGGCTGCTTACAGAGCATTTAGACAAAGTCTTGTGTATATTTCTTTCAGGATCTGCTAGAAGGAAATTACCTTTGTTGCAAAAAAACAAGCATATACCTGATTACTGCTTAATAAATATAATTTAATATCAGATGTTTCAATTGCAATGTTAAGTCTTCTTTCAAATCATGGAGTGAATTATTTCTGGAGCTCTTAAAGCTAGTTAAGTAGGAAACGTTTCGTCTGGAAGCAATGAGCTATTTTAATGCTGAAGCAGAGCGGTGATTGGATGTTGACCTGAGGTCAAAGTTTACTAAAATAGAAGAGGCTGGTGAAATGAAGCGACTTATGTGCTAAAATGTGTTGCTTTTTAAATGTTTGTATCTAATTTGTATAAAAACAGCTTATCTACTTGATGCACAGGAGAAATAAATAGTTTACCTGTAAAACACACCACCACGTTGGACACAGATGTGCATATTCATTTATTTTTTTTTTTTTTTCAGAATAAAAACTATGACATCGTTGCTGTGAAGAATATTTATTTACTCTAGAACCAGAACGATAAATACTGCAAGGAGCAAACTGGTACAGTCTGTTTGATAAAGGCCAGTGTATTTTCTGAGATGAAGGCATACATTTAGCTCAATCATTCATTTTAACTGATTCTTTTATGGATATATATATATATATGTTTTTTGTACATTTTAAGCCACATAATCTAGCTCCTGACCTCCTTTTCAGACCCGAAAACAGTTAAATGTGAAACTAAATGAAGATGAACATTTACAAAAAAAACATAAAATCTGTAAAAGCTTAAAAGCATTGCTACATGAACCAAGCTTCAAATTTAAGGTTGTAAACAGCAAAACTTGAACCATTGCTTTCGAGTTGTTTTCAATCAGCTGAAATCAAGCGTAATTTAGAAAGGGTTGGATTTTGATTTCAGTATTTCCATGTAAGTATAGAAAAAGCAAGGAATTATGGGAAACCATGAGTATTTTGGGGCTGAATCCCAAACCAACCACTAACCCTTAACTACCAAGTCTCTTAAAGTGTCACTCACAGCTTTGGAAGGTGCCTGGATTGTACATAGTTCACCCTTACACCTGCTGCCAGACTCCAGTGATCCTGCACTAATGCATCCCAACTACCATACATGGTTTTGGATGGGAACATGCAAACAAAGGGTTAGTGTGTAGGGGATTCAGCATTGGACTTCTTGATCTTCCTCCACAGCTGTTACATCCTTTCTTGGGTGCAACCTTCCATTTATCCCTCCCTTATGTCCAACCCTGCTGTACTCCCTCTTTTTTTCCAGTGTCTCTAATAAGCAGGTTTCTCATTACCCACCTAAATATCAGAGTAAACCAATATATATGTTTGTTTTTTTTTATCAATCTAAAGGAGAGAGATTTCCCGAAAGGCTTAGGTACCCTTTAAATGTCATAAATATGAGGAAACATCACAGATGAGCTAAAAAAACAGGACACAGCAACCAATACGTTGGGTTTTAAAGCTCTCTAGTCTTTCCAGAAGCCTCTGTTGTGATTAATGGCCTGAAGGAGCCTGGTCTCCATGGTCCTATCCACCGGGTATCTCATGTACCTGGGCAGCAGCAACAGGCAATGGCAGGTAAGGGATTCAGGCAAATGGAGCTCTGTGGAATCTGGCAACGGAGCCACTCTCATCCTGACGTATTCCATCCCCATGAAGGGGACTCTGTCACAGCCAGTGAGGAACACTGAGCATGGAGGAAAAAATAAAGCAATGAATGTAAGAGAACCACGGCCAGATGTAAAACTAATGCTAAATGAACAACGAAATGAAGTGGAGAACATACAGAGGAACTTTTTCTTTTGTTCTGCTGAGAAATTGTCAAACACGTTCCAGAAGCTGATGATGGTTGGATGGTCGGTGTGGTATTCTCCCTCATAAACTGTGTTCTGCAAATTTCAGAATAAAATACCTTTAACAATTCAGAGCTACTTATCTACACATTTTGAATCATTTCTAAAAGCAGCAAACATAATTAACCTACATAACTGAATGATTACTGAGTTTTTCCTACAAGGTTTGATTTTACTTTTGTTACGATCATATAATCTGGTGCTCATTTGTTAGATTAAAAGAATAAAATCTGATTTCCTCCTACCTGCTTGAAGACCTCCCAGTTGTAAGTCTCTTGGCCCACCATGACCGACTGTAATTCCTCCGGCTGGAAGAACTCCACAACATCTATGTTACACACTTTAAAAAAGCCTCGTTTGAAGAGTTCAAATATTCCCTCCACTGATTTGTTAAAGGCATGGTCTATACAGGCCGCGACAAACTGCTTCCTGTTGGGAAAGAAAAATCAGATTATTACAAATCTGAAGGCTTTTTAACTGAAATAAGTCACATTTCCACAGTTGATGGCAGCAAAGACAGGCTTTTCACCTTAACACTGAGGTGAAAATGCACTTTAATACAAACCTATTGGATCCAGTGACACGTTTTCCAGGTTCCTTGGGATCCAGTTCAACTTCCTCACCACCCCAGGACATCTGTGTAGCCATCATAGATGGGTTAGTTAGAAACCTGCACCCACATATTCATCGCCTACAGAGGGTGAACCGGACAGATTCAACATCACTTTCTATTGTGCAAAAAACTACATTGAAAGTCATCTCTGCAGCTTCCACTTCATCAGGAGTGTAGTCCTCCAAAATGCACCTCCATGACCTAACCACAGAATAAACAATGAGGAAAGTTCAATAAATACAAACTACACATTTTTTATAGCAAAATTATTTGAAAGTTATGTTACAAGTGTAAAAAAAATAACCTGAGTGTTAATATCTTCATGTTTCACAAACCATTAAACAATACAATCTAAAGACTAGTTTTCAATTCAGTGTTTAAGTTGGAGGTGCTGTTTTGTTTGTTTTTTATTCATCTAAAATTGGATGAACTCCACCTTTATTCTGTTTTTAAAAGATCCCAGAGGGACGAGACTAAAACTTTAATGCCAACAAGGTGCCTAATCTGTGGTAAGACTGAAAATCATGAATTTCAGAAGGGGTGTTGCAACGATCAAAGATGAAAATTACATTTAAGTCAGAAAAAACTCTAGAAAGAAATCTAAAGAATATTCTGGAAACCTTTTTCCATATTCTATATTGTCCAATCTATTAGATTAAAGGCCAGGTAGAAAGCAAGCATAAAGAAAAACAACTTTCTCAATAAAAAAAAAAAATGTGATATCTTAAAGGGAAGTGAAGTTTTACATCCCTACATCCTGCAGAGAGCCGTTCAGTTATGGACTTTTAATGTTTCTTACTCTGCTAAGAGAGGATCAAACTCCTTCATGTCGTCCAGTGATGTTTTGACGCGCAGCAGCTTCTTGAAGAGAGCCAGTGGGAACGGCAGGTGTATGATGTTGTGGTTATAAAGAGCCAAGCCACACAGGACGCCAAACAGGAAGTACTTCTTCTCCTCAACTTTAGGCTATTTGTTTAAAATAAAAAACAGACAAGAAAACAGGAACATTGAAAAACAACAATTCAATTTCATCTAAATGATCACATGTTCATGCACAGATAAGTTTAACCTTTAAATTAAACCTTGAATTGAAGGGAGTGTTGGCCTAGTTGTTAGAGTAGCGAGATTGGGATATGGAAAGGGTTGCAAGTATTCGGTTCGATCCCCACAGCCTGCACCCTGTGTCGCTGAGCAAGACCCTTAACCCACGTTTGCTCCCCAGGCGCCACACTGTGGCAGCCCACTGCTCCCCAAGGGGACGGGTTAAGATGCAGAAGTGAATTTCTCCATTGTGAGGTCAATGATGATTAATTATTATTAAACATATTGACTAATAAGCCTGCCTACAGTGATGTTGTTTTTTTTTTTCATGAGCAGCTCTTACCTTGGGTGGAAACCAGGCCAGAGTCTTACTGTCGTTGAACATGAACATATCAGATTCAGGATCCATCAGCTCATCAAACATATGAAGGAAAAAGTCTTTTTTGTTGACGTTCATGATCTTCCTGTCATCTACAAACTGAACCTACAATAGAAAGATTACAAAAAGCTTTTTAAGATACACACATAAACATATGTATACAAGCATATATATATATATATATATATATANTATATATATATATATATATATAGAGAGAGAGAGAGAGAGAGAGAGAGAGAGAGAGAGAGAGAGAGAGACAGATTCCTAACATTACAAGTATAAACTTCTTCCCAAATATATAAAAGTGGTTTTTTGTTTCTTTATATTTCTTTTTTTCTTTTTTTTTTTACACTTTTAGTAACATTTTTATTTATGTATTCAATTTCAATCTCTAACAATATGAAAAAGTAAAAAACATTATGGACATAATTTTTTTTTTTTGTTATTGTTGTATTTACCACAAGCGCCCTTTTAAATACAGAGTGATCAGCTGCAGCAAGATGTCTGAAAGCGTCCTCCATCAGGTGAGTCCGTCTGAGGTTCAGCTGGAAGACCGGGACAGAGGGGTCCAGAGCGTCTCCCAGGATGTCATTTGACCACGGCAGACGCATTCGCTGAACAACATGATGAGCTTCCTGCAGATATAAATACTTCTGTGAAAATTTACCAGAACCAAACGCCTGCAGCCATAAACAGGATAAAGCATAATTCATGAAGCCCTGTACCTTCATCACGCGTGCCAAGATGTTAAAGACAGCAACCTTGCAAACCAGAGGGAAGACGAAAGGATAGCGGCAGAAAATGGCAGGTGTTTTGTCGTCGTCCTTTAAAAAAATGACAAAATAAATGATCAAAAAGGACTTTTAGTGAAAAAGGAACAAGAAACAAAAAGCAGAATGAAGCACACATAAAATATTTTTCACCTCTTCTTTGGAGAACGCCAACCAAAGAGTGACATCCTCAAGCGGCTGAACAGCATTACCTTCCATTTCCGCCACATAAAAGGTGCTCAGTGGGACTTTGTAGGACTTTCCAGCTTTGTTTGCCTGAAAATAAATTATTTCATTCAATAATGAAAACATGTTTTAATTCTACTGAGATTTCCACGCACATAAAGGACTGCTAGTCAAACTATCAGCAGCAGTCCGGCGAGACGAATACATTTAAAGCATCAATTTATATTCTGCTGAACGAAATATAACAAAAAAGTTATAAAGAATATAAAAGTGAGATTTCACCAAATCCAATACTGACTCTGTAAAGCAGCTTCAGGGCTTTCAGCAGGTATTTGACTCCTGGGTTGTGGGTTTGCAACAGGCCGTTCCTCAGCATGAAAGCCAGGGCATTTCTGAACACCAGGATGTGCCTGATCAAAATATCCGCCGACAGAGAAGACCAAAGGCTCTCTGCAGAATGAAAAAGTTAATAAACAGAAAAAACCTAAACCTTAACCTTCCTAAACCTTAAGATAAAACATCTAGATGTGAAGCCGGTGCAGTAGTTTCTTACTCAATGTTTCCAGAGTCTTCTCACTCAGATCCTGAATAGTAATTGCCAGAGGCAAAGCTACATTGATCACGTTTGTGTCCTCTTGTAGAAGTGGGCATGTCAACAAAACCAGGAGGATCTCTGGAGATTTTAAATGATGCCTTGATAAAACGAGCAAATCTAACAGGAGATTTAGATTCACCTGCATGGAGGAAAAAAATATAAAAAATAAAAAAGGGTTCTCTGTCACCGTGTACTTGCTCTACATGTGTGCTGTTGTCTAACCTGGTTTTAAATAGAAATAAAACTTCCATGACTTTTCTGTTATTTTATGTAAATGAGTTTAAAAGTTTCATCCTTAACTGTTTGTTTGATCCAAGGGACGGCCAGCATCTGGTCAAAGGCTTGGCGAGCGGCCTGGAGGTCCACTGTTAGAGCACCAGCTTCCAGCGGAGCCCCGCTGGTATCAAACAGACAGGATAACGGGTCAGGGAGGAGGAAGGTGAAGAAGGGTTGAACCCCTCTTTTTTAGCATTAAGTTTAAAAGCACCAGTCTAGTAATAATCAAGCAATGTTAAAGGACAGCATGATGTAAAGTATTTATACATTATCAGAAATGAGTTATTGCCAGTCATATTGTTTTCACATTCCCCTCAAAGGCACAGAAATATTAAGATCATTTTAATTAATTCCAGCATTTTTCTCTTTTTCATTAATAATTTATTTTTATTCAAGGATAAATGTAACCAGTTATTTAGAGCCTTTATGGTAGTAGATGGAAAAGGCTTTAATGGCATTATGATTATGAAACTTTCCAGGGATGGGAATCTTTTAGCTAAACTTTAACTCTGCCTCATGCAACATCCACAGAGCAGGGGGGGTGGACTCAGGTTTCAGCTCTCGAAAACCTATAACCCAGCGATAGAGTTTATTGCTTCCCGCTATCATCTCAATCCTAATCGCCAATCAGGTGGTCAAAACATCGCATCCTGTAATCCAGGCCAACTACGACCTCAACGACTCACCGTTACAAAGGGGTGGACCTGTTTTATTCGGTTCAGTTTGCGTGTTTTCTAAGCCATAACAAGGCTTTTATTGGGCTACTCTATAAAGCCAGAAACTCAACGCTACTCTTGACATTTTGAATTGAGAAACATCCTGGATGGGAAGTGAAACGTCTTCAGACTTGATTGATTTTCACAGCTTTGCTGTTGTTAAAACCCCCAAAATTTATGAATCGCCTCATATGGACAGAGAATACAAACTACAGAGTCTGCAAGACTGCCCAACACCATGAAGATTCAGAAATGCATAAAAAAATAATAAAGTTAATTTATATATAAAATATAAACGAAAATAGAGAAATAAAACTCTGTGAATTTTACCAAAAGGTGAGGGATTTTCATGTCAAAGCGAGAGCGGTGATACTCATCTGTGACGTGGGATCTATTTATTTGTAAAACTTACTTCTCCATAACATAATCATACTCACTCTGGTTTTGTGAAACTTGCAACAAGACTTGAACTGGTGTAAAACATCGACTCGATTTCTCTGTTCCATGAAAAAAAGAAAGTATGAGGAAAAGACTCATTAACACAACAAAGATATTTTAGATTAATCAATCTGGACACAAAAAATAACGAGGGANGAAAGTATGAGGAAAAGACTCATTAACACAACAAAGATGTTTTAGATTAATCAGTCTGGACACAAAAAATCGGTACGATATTAGCCAAAAAACTAATACTGGATTATATTGGCCTGCATCTAAAATCCCTGATATTAGTCTGCTAATACCAACACTTTGCTGCTTTTTAAAGTTTCTGTTACCCATTTGTTATTATTAGATGGGTCTAATGCTGATAATTGTTCTCTGTATAACATCAGTGTCTTAAGCCTTTTCTGACATTTTACAGAACAAAATAAGTCATACATTTATGTTTGATTAGTGCCAACATTGTATCGGGTCAACCCTCAAAGCTACAATATGGTATTGCTTGATTGATTGATTGACTACATTGATCTCACAGTGGAGAATTTTGCTCCTTACACAAGCTTAAATAGTCAAAGAAGAAGAATGTGCTAAAGGAAGTATGTGCCAAAGTATATACAGTGTCTGTGTCTGTTCCTACATACGACAGCTTTTTTTTTCCCACAGTAGGATCATTATACAGGGTTATTGCAAAGGGTGGATGGAAATTTATATTTATATATATAGTTATTGCACAGGGTGTCAAATGGTAAAATGCACATTATACATTGCACAAGTTGTTGCTGTTGTAGTGTCGCAGAAATGTGAAACTTGTTTGGGACACCCACCAAAAATGTGTTGTGAAATCTGCAGGTTTCTTTCATTTTTAATTTTTCTATTTTTATTTTGTAAGGATTTAATGCTAGATCAGTGATTCCCAACCGGGGGATACTTGTACACCTGGGGGTCTACGAGAGCATTGAAAGGGATATATGAAAATATTTTACTTATTAGGTAATAAAATAAAATAGAGCTGGGATCTGTTTCACGTTCTGAGGACTCAGGTGGAAAATTAAACAAGCTTTTATCAATCGAAAAGTAAGTTTTTCTTATATGTTTAAGTTTGAGCTCTGACACACCTCCAAACCAAGCAGAGGAACAGACTGGGTGAAGAGAACAGTCTGGGATCAGCTGTTTTATACAAAAAGCTATCAGAGCTCATCAAAACAGCTCAGGTGTCTTGATGAAAACAAAGTAAAACTAATAAAGTCAGTCTGACTATTATTTTTTTCTGTATTTTGATCCAAATTCAACAAGTTTAAATGTGATTATAAGGGAGTTACTCAAAGGAACTCCTGTTTAATAAACAGGTTTATATTATGATTTTATTTTGTATTTATTTGGATTCCTTACTAACTCCCAGGCAACATATTTATGTTGTTTTTTTTATTTGAGATGGAAAGAATTAACTGCCTAAGAATTAAATGCTCAAATTCAAAGATTAAGTAAAATAGTTTTATTTTTACAATCAGTTATTGTGCCACTTTTGGACAATCATCAATACTTTTATATGAGAGGGGTACTCACGGTAAGACGAAATGTTCAAGGGGTAAAGGAGTCAAAAAAAGGTTGGGAATCACGGTTCTAGGTTATCAGATTTTAGAATCAATATAATCTTTTAAAATCTAAAAATCTTCAAATGATGTGTACACTTAT